TTTAACGGACTAATTTGTTTTAAATGAGTAGGCCTTGAAAATTTGGGCTACGGGCATTTATTACACTCCCATAACTCACTCAACTCTAAGGGAAAAATCATTGGGGGGTATAGACCCCCCCCCCATCTTTATTGAACAAAAAAAGCTCGATTGGGATATTAAGGTACAGAGAGTGTTCGAGTATAACGACGTTTTACAAAAAAAATGCAAAAATTCCCACTCAATGGGTCCGAAGAAAGTGAAGGAAGGTATACAAACAATAAACCCTGTTCATCTGAATAACTTTAACTAGTATATTACCTGTCATTGTATCATGATAAACCAGGGGCTTGGCTATTGCATAATATCTAAACATTTTATACGTTAAACAAACAATAATTATTCTGTAGTTTTTCAACCACATGGTAGAGTACACATTAATTTGATTTGTTATGTAGATAAATACGGAGTTTTTCATCATCCTTCATCTGTCAAAGTTTTGAATCTAGCAAGACATTCTTTGAATTGAGGGTCAATTGAAATTACGCTTAAACTTACAGTGTTATCTTTACCGCGGCCAATTTTTCATCAAAAACGCATCCGCCAACAATCAAGTATAAAACAGAAGATTTATGTGTAATTACTAATTAGTCAACTGTGTTAGAAAATGACAGTTTTTTAAGGGACAAGACTGAATTGTCGAATCAGTATATCTTTGTCATTTAAAAGACGATTTTTTAAAGTCAAATCTCGAATGTCAGGCTTACTGGGCGAGCCTTTTCCAAAACGCAATTGATTAATTGAATGTATTTCTTTTTATTTTATTATGTAATATATTTATAAACAGTTTGTTTGAAAAAAAGTCTTGAACTTGTGTCATATAAATACATTTTGTATATATATAATATTTTAAAATATGTAATCATGTGTCATTTTATATTTACATAATAAATCTCTCTATTTTACATATACCACGCACCTCTACCCCTTTAGTTAAAGTAAATTCAACCTATATTAAGCATAAAGTCTGACCACGTCAATCTTGTTGCACAGGCTAGTCCTGTCCATAGAGCTAGGTGCAGTACAAACTGGGACCGGAAAGGTTGATCCGGCTCGGAAATTCAAATGTACTACGGCTGCCCGTGATACATAGTGTATTATTGTATAAAAGTAAATTCAACCTATATTAAGCATAAAGTCTGACCACGTCAATCTTGTTGCACCGGCTAGTCCTGTCCATAGAGCTAGGTGCAGTACAAACTGAGACCGGAAAGGTTGATCCGGCTCGGAAATTCAAATGTACTACTGCTGCCCGTGATACATAGTGTATTATTGTATGATAAGGAGAGAACCCCGCTAGAACCATAATATACTAGCTATAGCTGAAGTACTCGGCGTTGCCTGTGGAATTTTAAAAACAATTTGGAAAAAATTAGATTTGTTAAGCCTATGTTTCTCTCAAGATACCAAAGGGTTACCTAAAAATTTTAACCAATTTGGTTCAGCCGTTTGGCCAGCTAGCTATAAATATATATATATATACATATACATACACCTCAATATATAGAAAGCGAAGAGCTTTATTATAAAGATATACATATTTTTAGCCGATATGAGTTTTTAGTTTAAATGTCTAGTTTTTTGCTTACAAAAAAATAGGATTAACCCTATTGAAGGTGGTTAGAGGGGTTGGGGGGGATTCAGCATGCAAAGTTTGGTTCAAATAAGACAGTTATTAAAATTAGAACATAACTATGAAACTGTTGAAACAAAGAACAATAAATAAATAAAAAAATGTCTTTTTTATTATTCATGAACACTTAAAATATTAAAAAACATTCTTGGACTGTCCTAGACGCAGCGCTCGGCCCCCTAGTCTGTCCTAGACGCGGCGCTCGGCCCAGATATTGTCTTAGCCTAACCTAACCCTGGAATAATACTAATTATATTTCATGTACAAGGGTGCGGGGGTAGAGGGGTTCCAAAATTCTTTCTCTAGGATTGAGCACAGCCATTGTTTAACCACCTTTGCTTCGACTAGTTTTAATTTTGTATGACATTTATATAAATGTTTTGCATTGCATGTAGTCTTAAATCTATATAATAATTCTTTTCGCTCTTATATATATATTTTTATATGTCAAAGCTGGCCAGACGGCTGGACCAAATTGGCTGCCATTTTTTTAAGGGAACCCAAGGGTGAATTTTTTTCACGGGCAACGTCGGGCACTTCAACTTTTATTATATATATATGTAATCTTTTGTACTGTTAGGTGTACAGAATAGATATATAATAACAATAAATAATAATGATAAAGAATTTAAAACTTTTCTCTGTGTTTCCATGGCATTAGGATGGAATTAATTCAAATTTGAAATATGCTGAAAACAGAATATAAAGATAATGTACAGATTAAAGAGCCTTTAACAAGAAATATGTATTTAATTATAATATAAATATTGTAAATTATAAAGAATTCAATTTTTTTTAACATATTCATAGGTTGGTCATATCTTTGATATCTCATGAATATAGCAGGTCAATGAAATGTCATTTCTTTGAAATGTCATATCTTTGTCCTGTCTATAAAATATTCTGATTATCAAATATCCTGGTCAATGAAATGTCATATCTATAAAATGTCATGTCGTGTCAATGAAATGTCCTGATTGTCTTGACCTATGAAATGTCTTGTCTATGAAATGTCATGTCTATGAAATGTCATGTCTTTTGTCTATGAAATGTCATGTCTTTCTTTTGTCTATGAAATGTCATGTCTATGAAATGTCATGTCTGTGAAATATCATGTCTTTGTAATTTCATGCATCTTTAAAATGTTTAGTTCTAGAGCTACAAACAGTATAAGTACGTTGCATTTTTGAAATGTTTAATGTTTATGTTTAGGGCTACAAAATGTCCAAAATTAAAAATATTCCAGAAACCTGTCTACAGAGATACAACAGAGATGTAGTGTTGATACCTGTCTACAGAGATACAACAGAGATGTAGTGTTGATACCTGTCTACAGAGATACAACAGAGATGTAATGTTGATACCTGTCTACAGAGATACAACAGAGATGTAATGTTGATACCTGTCTACAGAGATACAACAGAGATGTAATGTTGATACCGTGGAGGCATGAACATCCATTGAATTCCAAATATTACACATCAGAGAGGAAAACATCCATCTTGAAATTGAAAAATTAATATTTCATGAAAAATATTGAGTTACCATGATCGGAAACACATATTTTCTAAATTAGGGAAAATCTACGTTTATATAAGAAAATCATAGTTTTTCCAGTATAGAAAACCAATTCTAACGTTTTCATCGAAATAGCACAAAAGTGTTAAGAAATTACATAACTAAAATTCTAAAACAATATAGTAATTGAACATAGTAAACAAACGTTTAAAATAAACAATTACTTTTAACAAGGATTTATTTAAAACTGTAGAAGAGAAATGAAAAAATGACATGCTGTATTATAGAGAGAAGATAAGAAAACGGAAAGAGATAGTGCATCCATTGTAAGGCATTCGAGGTCATTTTCATCCAACAAACTTGCTTCTTATGCGGGAAAAAACGTGATAGTTCGTCAACGAATGGTATACAAAATTGTTCAGCTTTTTATTTCATGTCAAATTGTCAATAATTTTGCATTATGTATTATTATTAAAAAACAACCTCAGTCCAGTTTCTCAGATATTTTAGAAAAATCTTAAAAACTAAAAATAGCTGAGGCCAAATTTAAAGAATTTGAGCCGCGGCTTAAATTTAGGCCGCGGCTCAAATATGGTTGGATCCACTTAAAATTGTACTACATTTTTCAAGATTCAATTGAAACCGGTTTTTTTCTGTCGATTTAATAAATTAATGTTTTTTTTTTAATTTATGCAAATTAAGAAGACAAGCATTATAAGCAACTAACACTGTTTGAAATGTATCTTTTATGTTTGAAATCAGTTAATTCTTTTTCATAAAAAGGGTTCAGAGCTGAAAACTTTAGAATGGTGGATATCGAGATTAATGCTTGATCTTTCCTCTTTTTCTTAATCTCCAGATTAAATAATGCTTGTTCTCCTCTTGTTATCAATCTCCAGATTAATTAACCGATCAGGATTAAGGATATCACATTCTAAAGTGTTCAGCTCTGCTTTGATAAATTAAAAAAAGACCTGTCGGAGATTTCAACGGTAGCGTTAAAATCTAAATATCAAGGGCTAAAAATCTTATAAGTAAGTTAATAGTGAGGTTTAATCAAAGGCCACACATTAAAACAATACTAAAAAGTCTTAAAAATTGGAACTCTTTATCTATTTGCCATTGATATGGATATGCATTTATTTGAAACAGGAATATTTCTTTTATATTTTTACTCTGAGCTGAATAGAGTAATAAAGATATTGTGTAACCCTCTTCCCTCACTAATCAAATATAGAATCCATCCCTTACTCGATCATAGACAAATCAGTAAAAAGAAAATGGGGGAGGGGAGAAGGAACTTTATATATTGGTCAAACTAATATTTAAGGGGTCGACCCCTTTACCATAAATATACATGACTAATTGGTTATTATTATTATTATTATTATTATTAAAGATAGATAGATAGATAGATAGATAGATAGATAGATAGATGGATAGATAGATAGATAGATAGATAGATAGATAGATAGATAGATAGATAGATAACAGCCTGATATATAGATAGAATAGATAGAAAGATAGAAAGATAAATTTATAATATCAGTACAATTATATTTTTCATAAGATGTGTTCTTTTGAGTATAAAATTTGACAAATTTTGTTCATAAAAAACCTGAAAAATGAATGAATGTATAATCATAACATATTATAATCCTTGTGGTATAAAAGTACTCCTGCACCGAAGAAGCTGATCTAATTAAATGAAACCCCCCAACTGTATCTAAGATCCAAGTGTGCATTATCTCTTTAATTATTTTATATATTTACTGTTTTTACACAACAAAATAAATACAAAAGTAGGAAAGCAGTGTGTCAGGCTGTTAGCTAGTTAAATACAGACCTAAGAAATATTTAGTGTTTTTTCTAAAAACTAAGTAAAGAACCCTTCTAAGCAAACTGTAGAGAGTTATACAGTGTTGCCCACAAAGGATGAGACTCCAGAGACAACTGTATCAATGTAGTTTCAGTAGGAGTAAATATTTCCATTTACTGATAGCGCCGATATAAGGATTCATAACTCTGATTGGATAATGAGATAGAAAGACAGATGTTACCGCCAAACTATTTCTATTAGTTCAGAATAGACAACAAACACATGACTGAACCCTGATTGGATCAGGCGCTAATGGACTCGGCTTACAGAAGTGTGTACGGAATTTATATGATTTATTTTTATGTACCCATGCCTTTGAAAACTTAATTGTCTCTTTACACAACCCTTTGTGAACCCATTAAAAGACTATATTGAAGGCAGAAGACCATCCTTAGTTCTGTGGGTCTTTTAATTCTTTAATAGCAAAAATTAAGATTTCCGGTAAAATCGTTCAAGTGCGGGTAAACGGCGGGCGTAACCGATAGAAACCTTGGCAGCGCTGGGTTCCCAAGCTAGTTTTACATTAACTTGATACTTGTGTGTATTTCTACTTTTACTTTAAAGGGACTGTTTGCTAAAAATGAAAGTGGGTATAGGCTGAATTTTTGTAAGTGTTCTTATTTATAAAATTTCAAATCGAACAAAATCTTTTTCTAAAATGAGTGTTTTCTTCTTCATGTTTCTAGAAAGATAATCCTCTTTGCTGAGTATAATCTTGGAATTTGTGGGAAATCCGCGAAAAAAAGTTGAGAACGCTGTCACAGGAGGGATTATCATCCTTTTAGTGTTCTTTCTTTTTTAAAACATCATTGATAATTTAATTTGCTTTTAATTCGTAATCGTAGTTATTATATCACATAAATAAAGCAGGGGATCATTCATTTGGCGTATACCGTCCCGGTTTTCCTAACATAGTCTGTATTTGTACTGTACAGCTTCCTGTAGCTGGTGAATATTCGGCACGGTACTTGAAATGAACTGAAGTGTACACTAATCATATTCATATGTGATATATGCTCTTTATTTGTCATACCACACTGAACACAGGGGAAATTAGTTCCAAAACCACACTGAACAGAAGAAGACTTTTCAAATTTGACATTACTGCTAAAATGAATTTAGCAAGAAATCTCTCCATTGTATTTTTTTTTAAATAACAAGAAAAAGTATGAGAAACAAGCTTTTTTCAATGATATTTAAGATATTTTAAATGGACTTCAAACGTAAGAGGGCGTTTTCGATTCACGACAGCACCCGGAAACCTTTAGCTGAACAAGGAAGACATTTTTATCTTCAAAAGTGCTTAAATCTCTAAATTTCCTTCATTGTTTCCGCAGCACAAATTTGCTAGCCACTTTTTAAGTGAATCCACAATTATAAGAAATGAATCTTCAACTAGAAAAGATGGTCTATGAGATCAGTAGGTTTCAAGGTTTAAGTTTTGAATCCGCTATATCGGCCCCAGTCTGTAAATGGAGAGTTGGAGGTTTAACTTATGCTAGGAAAAATTCTGTTAACGAAGCGAAGATTTTCGAAAATTAACTGAAAAGTCTGTTAACGAAGCAAAGATTTTCGAAAATTAACGGAGAAGTCAGTTAACGAAGTGAAGATTTTCGAAAATTAACGGAAAAGTCTGTTAACGAAGCGAAGATTTTCGAAAATTAACGGAAAAGTCTGGCAACGAAGCGAAGATTTTCGAAAATTAACGGAAAAGTCTGTTAACGAAACGAAGATTTTCGAAAATTAACGGAAAAGTCTGTTAACGAACAACAAAACCCTTGAGTTTTTTAATAAAGGAATTTGTCATTTTTGAGAGAAAAAAATGAATGTAGAAAACAGCAACGAAACGGATGTGTTTTTAAATGTCGCTTTTGTAAATAAATTACAAACGATGCCATTAAATTAGTTGGCCGACCTTAATTTGGATCCAATTTTTTTAGTTTGTGGCGCAAAAACAACAATCCAAAATGGCAAACCAATAATGATTTTTTTTAACGACTAACACTGTCAATAAAACAACATATTGTTAAATGCTAGTGCAATTAAAGGGAGTTACCGGCTTTGTATGGAAGTTGAACTGAGAGAATCTGGCCAAAATTACAAAAGTTGAATGAATAAATTACAGAAATTGGTTTCTGTAAAAAGTATATATGTGTATATCTATACATATATATAAACATATATATTATCATACTTTAAATAAAAAGGATTTTTTTTTCGTTAAAATCTTAATTTTAGATGATTTTTGATTGAGTGAAGAAATTTGTCGTCTTCATACATAGGTAGATTTTCAATTGAGGATTAAAAAAAAAAACTTTTAAGAAATGACAGTAAATTGAAAAGTGTTGATCCTATTTTTTTAACTTGTTTCTGTTTACGCAATCAGTTTATTGGGGTATTTTTTGACATTTTTTGTCGTCTTTTTTTGATAATTAAAAAAACCGATTCTCAAAATGTATCCATCCAAAAAGACAATTTTGAACGTTGATTTTGCGCTCAAACTCAGTAATTACACATCGTAGAATAGTTTTATATGTCTCAAATGATCAGCTTAACTACACGACATAGCCAGGCACTCCCTTTAAATTTGATATCGTCTTTGTTATGAATTAGCATTGTAATACCTAATTTCAAAAGCCATAATATTATTATGTCTGCTAGAGTTTATTTTATGAAAAGGGTAAAAGACTGTAAAGATGTGTCTATAATGTCTCTGCAAGATGAATACTGAACAGAACGGACAAGTTTACTCTGCTTGTCCACTGCAATTTTCTTGTTTTACTAAGTACAACAACCGTATGCAGTCAAAACATAAACAAACAAAATGTGAACATAACAGACAAAACTCTTACAGATTACAGCTTTCTAAGGAGGTATCACTATACTAAATCAAAGAAAAATTTAAAAGACGGTATCAAATTCGTCACTGAATTCCCATGTTTTTTGGGACACCCTGTATAGAAAACCAGACTGGGATTTCTACACGGAAATTAAGGCCTTCTGCGTGAAAAGCCCATGAAAGTTGCTTGACTGGGTTTCTGCATCTAGAACACAGGGAATGGAGTAAGGACAAATTAGTTCAGCACCAGCTCTGCAAGGAGAGGATTAAGAAGTTCGCCAACTCCCCACAGTGGTAGGATGGACAATCTAAGAAGCAGTCAGTCTAAATCTGTTTGGTTGGATCGGACCTGTGGGAATAACAAGATGATTGGAGAAGAGGTGTAGTAGCAATATGTCTACATCGCTTTAGTACTTTATTTATTTCATTTTTTTCTTATTTTCAATATAGATGTTCAAATATGAAATAGGCTGGTTTCATAATTGACCAATGATCATTTCACATAGACTCTAGGCCTTCCACTTAACAAACGATGATTTTCCGTTATAAGTATAAATCAAATGACGTTTTTATTCACCTAATTCATTATAAAGTTCATTTAACAGTTTAAAAAATTCGAAATTGAAATGGATAGATTAGGGAACATACTGTATTAATGTACTCTACTGCATATAATTTGTGAACATTTACATGATTTGTACACTTTGAACTCCCTTTCAGGCTGAAAGGGACTGAAAAAATTCATACCGAGAGATTCTTTTAATTCCTCTCTATATATTCTATTCTCTATGTATTTAACCATTTAACATTACGTTTTTGTTCTTTATTTTCTCAGTGTCAAAAAGAGCTAAATTTTTTTAATCGTTCATTCTAAACATTTGTTTTCTTAAACAATTTTGACCCGGTGACAGAAAAAATCTGCAAAAAAGAAAATCAAAAGCGATCCAAAAATAAACGTGTTATAACTTTATTTTTGGATCATTCTTCCAATTTTATGGATAAAAATAGTGCAAAGTTTAATGAAAGCAAACTTTGACACAATACAGTTTTGAAATCTCTCAAGTATATTAATAATAATAATATAACATTGTTGAATTTTAATCCCTTCCGATTTAATTTTGAGCTTGAATCATTTTAAAGAAAAGTGAACACCAATATAGAAGGGAAAGTGTACAGCAATATACAAGGGAAAGTGTACAGCAATTTACAAGGGAAAATGTACAGCAATATTCAAGGGAAAGTGTACAGCAATATACAAGGGAAAGAAGGGAAAGTGTACAGCAATATGAAGGGAAAGTGTACAGCAATATACAAGGGAAAGTGTATAGCAATATGAAGGGAAAGTGTACAGCAATATGAAGGGAAAGTGTACAGCAATATACAAGGGAAAGTGTACAGCAATATACAAGGGAAAGTGTAAACCAATATAGTGTACACCAATATTCAAGGGAAAGTGTACAGCAATATACAAGGGAAAGTCTACAGCAATATACAAGGGAAAGAGTACGCCAATATTCAAGGGAAAGTGTACACCAATATTCAAGGGAAAGTGTAAACCAATATTCAAGGGAAAGTGTACACCAATATTCAAGAGAAAGTGTACGCCAATATTCAAGGGAAAGTGTACACCAATATTCAAGGGAAAATGTACACCAATATACAAAGGGAAAGTGTACAAGGAAAGTGTACGGTGTAAAAAAATATACAAGGAAACAAGGAAAGATGTATACAAAAGAAACGAAAATTAAGAATTTTGCATGAATAGAATAGAATTGTAAAGATATGCCTGAGGCAGGTTTGTGCAAAATTTAGAAGAAAGTTGGCAAACTATATTTGCACTTTGCCAACAATTGATGAATTGGAATTTGCCCGCATCTCTTGTATATAGTATACAGCGGAAAGTACTCCTGTAACGTCCGAGCCGGAAATTTAAAAGAGTATCATTAAACAAACTTTTTGGTGTTTATTTCTTTGCGTAGATTTTAATTTAAGAAATCAGAGAACAAAATAGAATGAAAAGAAACCACATAAATAGTATTTCATAAAACAAATATTGGAATCTACAAAACTGACCAACACCAATCATGAAACCGGGTTTCTGATACACTGGGTTTCATGACGATACTTTATCTTAAGTTTCGGCTCTGAAATATTTATATCTCCAGTTCAACATTAGATGCAAATCTGGACCTTGTACTTTACCGACAGCAACCTACAGATTTAATATCTGCAAAACTCTCCGCCGACGGTTGTTCCGCTCTGCAGGCGGTTGTTTTTCTGCTTTGCTCCGTGAAATCTGTGTAGAACTTTGCCTCGTGAAATCTGTGTAGAACTTTGCCTCGTGAAATCTGTGTAGAGCTTTGCTCTGTGAAATCGGTGATAAGTTTGCTCCAGGATATCTGTGTGGAGCTTTGCTCCGTAAAATATATGTGTAGTTTTGCTCTTTAAAATCTGTGTGAAGATTTGCTCTGTGAAATCTGTATGAAGCTTTGCTCCGTGAAATCTGTGTGGAGCTTTGCTCTGTGAAATCTGTGTGGAGCTTTGCTCTGTGAAATCTGTGTGGAGCTTTTCTCTGTGAAATCTGTGTGGAGCTTTTCTCTGTGAAATGTGTGTATGGAGCATTGCTCCGTGAAATGTGTGTATGGAGCATTGCTCCGTGAAATGTGTATGGAGTTTTGCTCTGTGAAATCTGTGTGGAGCTTTGCTCTGTGAAATCTGTGTGGAGATTTGCTCTGTGAAATCTGTGTGGAGCTTTGCTCTGTGAAATGTGTATGGAGCATTGCTCCGTGATATGTGTATGGAGTTTTGCTCTGTAAAATCTGTGTGGAGCTTTTCTCTGTGAAATCTGCCTGATTTATTCTTCCTAAATACCATCCTAGGATTCAAGAACAAGATTGAGAGAATGGTAAAAGTACAAAACTCTTTTAACCGATCCACCCAGAAATATGTTGTAAATGATGTCAAAAAACAAACAAATAAAACAGAAAACCGGTTCTAGTTTTCTTAAACTTAATTTATTTATATAAAAGTACCAATTTTTTCTCTATTACAGTAACATTTACATAAAATAAAGTGGGGTTCGATTGTAAAATGAATTATTGAAATGTAAAAAATTAAAATCCGATCAGAATCGAGACACAAGGGAATCAACTACTTGTATTTTGGAGGCATCTGGTATATACAAAATTATTACTTTTATTAAGAATAAACCATTTAAATAATTATACATGAAGACAAGCTTAAAATTATACATATACATATCTATATGTAAATATCAAATATGTTGCATTAATGGTACATTCGTTAAAGTTGTGTGAATACAGGGTGTCCCACGAATCATGAGAGTTGCTGAATATTTTAAAATGTCTTCTTCCATAATTTTTTAAGTTGTTTGATACCGAAGAAAATAATAATAAACATTATATGGCAGTTTTATTATAGTAAAATTGATCTCAGATTAAAATATATTGGAGCAAAATATTTTTCTACCGAACTAAACTGCGAAAAGTCTTTAAATCTTATCCAGTATTTGGAAGACGACATTCTAAACTATTCATCAACTGTCATGTTTCGTGTGACACCCTGTATGTAAAAGTGTCCTTTTTAAATTTTACAATCTAAATTGTCAAAGTTGAGTTGCTTCGAACGAAAATAAAAAATAAAAAATACTAACCTTTAATATCCATAGCAACGTCAAGTCGTAGCGAGGGACACTGAAAATATAAACTTGTTTATTTAAAGAATTCGTTAAACCTCGTCACATTTTCTTGCTGTGAACCTTTAAAGCACATCCTCACAGTAGTGAATGCAAAGATTTAAAGGATTTATCATTGTTGTTTTCTATTTTTATACTGAGTGTAATTTTATATACTACGTCATTATATACAGGGGTAAACATTTTATATATTACGTCATTTTACATTATATACAGGGGTAACCATTTTATATATTACAGCATTACACATTGTATACAGGGGTAAAAATTTTATATATTACATCATTACACATTATATACAGGGGTAAACATTTTATATATTACGTCATTACACATTATATACAGGGGTAAACATTTTATATATTACGTCATTACACATTATATACAGGGGTAAACATTTTATATATTACGACATTACACATTATCAAGGAAAACTATATATAAGGATATGTTTTGCGAAGCAAAACTATTTATATAGTTTTACATAGTGTTCGAGAATCAGGGTTATATACAGGGGTTAACATTTTATATATTACGTCATTACATATTATATACAGGGGTAAACATTTTATATATTACGTCATTACACATTATATACAGGAGTAAACATTTCATATATTACGTCATTACACATTATATACAGGGGTAAACACAGTATATATTACATCATTACACATTATATACAGGGGTAAACATTTTATATATTACGTCATTAAACATTATATACAGGAGTAAACATTTTATATATTACGTCATTACATATTATATACAGGGGTAAACAGAGAGCAGAGGAATTATTTTAGTTACGAAATCTTATTAGAATAAACTGTTGTATACAATTATTTAAGAGGCCGGACGAAAAATTATCAAAAATTCTTCTTTAAACTAACTTATTGTTTTCGAACATACATAAACATATTTTTATTTATTTACCCTTATTGTAGTAATTTGTACTTATTTATAATAATATGTTACTAATTTGTAATAATTTTTTACTCATTTGTGTTACCAGAAGTAATTTAGAAAAGAATTAAAACTTTATGACTATGTTTAACAATTCTTTCATAAAAACTTTTTCGGTTTATCAATGAGGGTACTTGAACTTTTTTAGATTTATGTACTTTGCAAAATCTTTGCAATTTTATAAAATTGCAAAGTTCAGTCAAGTTCTTCAAGTTGATGATACTATAAAGAAATTCAGTATGTGATATAAATAAAGATGTAGAAATGGCCAATTCTAGTTTTTTTTCAAACAATTTTCCAACTAATTCTCATTTACGAGGGAAATTAATTATATTTTTTAAAGGATTTTGGAAAATTAATAAACTCTGATTAATTTCGTTCAATTTTTATTTTTATTTCTAACCGAGGTTTCTGTACAGAAATTTTGAAACTTTAATTACAGAGTTACTGCTAATTATGTTCACCATAACAACACAATATTTCAGTTCTTATATATGTCTTGGCTCCTTGATTTAGTTAGAAATGCCGCCGAAATATCTTCAAATCGTCCATGCTAACGGTAACCTAATTTGTATTCAAAATGTATTATAAAAGTGTTTTGATTTTGCTCTGGCTATGTATTCGGGATGAGATCTCACTTAGATAGAGTAGAGATCGATTAAGGGCTTTTTAGATAGTCAATAGCTTGTTTGATAGAAAGCTACGCTTGTGGGCCAGGTGGGTTGTGTCCTGGTTGACTTTGATTGCGGGTAGATTGTACCTGGAATGATACAGTTTGAGACGAAGTTTTAAGAGTCTGGCATTTACTACAGCTACAGATAAAATACGCAAAGTTATTACTAAAATCCGCAAAAATATTACAATTAAAGTACACAAGTTTTTTAAAATTTAATTTAATGAAAATGTATTTTATTTTAAAATAAAAGACTTTTTACCATTGAATTATGCAGTTTTTGATCATAGAACATTTTAGGAGCTGTGCAGTTTTGGGAATTAATTTCAATTTAAAATTGCACGATTTTTAACTTTTTAAATAAAAAAATTTACAATTTGATATATTTCATCGGCATCAAGGTTGTATAATAAGCTGGGTTACTGTCGATGCGCTCCAAAGTACGGAAAATGTCGTCGTAGATAGTTAAAAACCTAATATATGACGTCACTTTTATATTGGGTTTTATTTATCTATCTTAGGAGACGACATTTCTCGTACAATGGAGCGCATCGAGAGTAACCTACCTTATTATCTTATGGACATAATGGACATAATGGACATAATGGACATAATGGGCTGAATGTACATAATGGACTAGATGGACATAATGGACATAATGGAAATAATGGACATAGGGGACATAATGGACATAGTGGACATAATGGATATAATGGACATAGTGGACATAATGGACATAATGGACATAATGGGCTGGATGGACATAATGGACTAGATGGACTAGATGGACATAATGGACATAATGGACATAATGGACATAATGGACATAATTGACAAAATCTGTTTTTTTGATTTGCCTGAAAACTATTTTGAGAATAATTTTGAATATGCTATCAATGTATATAATTTTGATAACTGATTATGTTCCATTGTGGTTTTTCATACATTTGTACACATCAGGAAAACATTTAAGAATCATCAGAATTAAACATGTATAAACCTGGGAAAATGACATTCAAAGATGTCGATGTGGATTGGTCCTTGCCATCTTTGAATTGATGATTACTTGAATTTACGCGAACAGTCTCTTTAGCTTTCCAGGCATGGTGTTTGATTTAGCATTCCATTCAGTTTCAAACGTTTATAACATCAGATTGCAAAGATATTTGGATTCGAACATTCTTGTTTAACTTGAGACAAGTAGTCATATTTGACTATTCTAGTTTTCTTTGAATAAGTAACAAAGATCCTCCAAACCAGATGAAACTTTTTTTGTTCATTTTTTTTAAATGACAAATATATGGAAATGAACATCGTTTTTTTGAACGAACGAAATTATTGAGAACGAACGAAAGTTTTCGTGTAAGGGTTGTCGTTCAAAAAAAAACGAATTACAGAAGAACGAAATGGATTGTTCAGAAAAATGAAAAATTATCGTTTTTTTTTAAAACGAGCGAACGAAAAAAACGATCTAAAGTCATTCAAACGAACATGAGAAGACGAAAATTTTTTACTTTAAGTAAAAATTTTCAAAAAATTTGGATAAAACAATGATCGTTTTCTATTGAACAAACGGTTTTTTGGAGCAAACTTTTTTAAAAGCCATAGTTTTTTACAGAAAAAAAACAAACAATTTTTTCGTACAAATTTTTTGAAAAAAAACTATCGTCTTTTTACTGAATGAACGATTTAATTGAACGGACGATTCTGAGGAAGGAACGAGTTAACTGAATGACGATTATATTGAACGATCATTCAGTGAGAAAACGAACGAAATAGATGGGAAAAAAACAAGAATTTTTAGAACGAACAAAATAATATTTTAATAATTGAAAAAAACGAACGATTTAGGTTGTTCACGAACGATGAACGAACAAATGAAAAATGTCTAATATGCCCATCTCTACAAATATATAAATGTTAGATAATGTTATACCTGGGTACGGTGTCAACCATCCCCATCTCTGAGGAAGGTCCCTCTTCTACCGATAGATTCATACCTGAAAATAAATTCAATTTTGTTTCAGAAAAAAAATTGTATTTTCGCATGTTAGAATTCCAATCTAATCCTTATGCACGACGTAACATTTGTGTAGATTTTAATTCAAGAAATTCGAAAAAAAATGAAGAATATGAAGAAACCAAATAAAATAATATTTCATAACAAAAATATTGATATCCACAAAACTGCCTAACCCCATTCGTAAAACCTGAATTCCAAAACTGGTTTTCATAACAATACCCTGTCTTAAGATTTTGGCTATATGTGTTTCATTTTTGACAGTACGATTTGTGAACTAAAACCCTGTATCACACATTAGACAAAGCGCGTTTAAAGACACGCCAGAAATTGATAAAAACGATGGGTCCCATGCATGGAATAATTATTAAAGGCTGTTAAAGATTAAATTATTTGAATTTGATGTGTTTATAGGCATAATTACTCATAATTTTGCTTTACAGAACAATTTCTTATGTAACTTGGATTTATATTATATAAACACTTTTGTTCCTTGTTGATTGTTTGTTTTGATAATACACTGATGGATTTGCAGGGTTTAACATTTGATGGATTTAGGAAGTGCGCAAAATCTGGTTCAGAGATAAAGAATATATATATTGAGAGAACAGAATCAATTATAAGTTTTGACAATTGCAAAGTTGAGAATGGATTTATTTCAAATCTTTTTATTGGATGAAGAGAGACAAATAATCAATTTTTTAAGTTAATTGCAACCAATTACTCCCATAAACCCATCTTTATTTAATGTCTTTATTCCTTTGCCACCTGATAGTGCAAATCTTTGATATTTCAAACTTTGACTTATTGATGTAGCAAAATTTAAAGTTTGAAATATCTAAGGTCCACAGCTTCAGGTAGCAAAGATACAGAAATGATAAAAATAGAGTTTGCGGGGAGTAATCAGTTTCTTGTCCAACCTAAGGCCATCGAAGTTTATATCAACACAAAAAATATATTAAAAGTTGTCTGCATTGTATGGATATGAACGCAGACCATTGTATATGGCATATCCCATGCAATCCGTAATAACGTTTTCAACTCCAAAATCAAAGAAGTAAAAAAAATTAATTAATTAATTACGTTGCACAGTCATTTTTGTTTACCTCTATATATATTAATATTTCTCTAGATCTCCCAAAACTGACTAGTTATTTATTAATAACCCGCGGGCATAATCATATGTTCAGAGCTGGGAACTTAAGAATGGATAACCTTAAATCCAAACTACTTAATCCGAATATCGACTGTGGAAACTTTTAATTTTGGTCCTTAATCCACTTTTTTTCTCTCTCTTAAGATATCCGGACATTATTTTCTCCAATGAGAGTGCAGGAATAAAGTTCGTAAATTGTATTGACCAATGACAGCCTTGAAAATAGATTCTATCCCATGAGAGAAATCCGCAATTTCTAACAAATAAAGAATTTGTTGTCGGCCATTTTGTAAATTAATCAGTGAAGAAAAATATTTAATAATACGTTTGAGATTCTTTTTTAACCACTTTTTACTAATGAATTAATAAATAAATGGGTGAGAAATTAAGTTAAGGTCCTTCCAGTCAAGAAAGCGAACCAACCTTACGTTCTTAGAATCCAATTTGTTCATTTAAATATTTAATCTCGAGACTAACATAATCTCGAGACTATGTTATAGTCTCGAGATTAGCGAAAAGAGAGGATCAAGCATTAATCCTGATATCCACCATTCTAAAGTTCCCAGCTCAGAGCTGAAAACTTAAGAATAAGATATCCTAAATCCCAATTACTTAATCTGAGTATCCAATGGGCACACTTTTGATTTTCTTCTTAAACCGTTCTTTCTTGGATAGAGTAGAGAAAAATCAAAAACCGCTTTTTTTGATTTAGAGAGTCCCTCGGCCCTCCCGTTTCTGTATATAATCTTAAATGGCGCGCAAAATTTCAAATTTATCGGCTTCATATATGCGACTCTGAATGGTTGAATTTTATACACTTTTCAGGATACATAGAAGTACAAGATTAGGTTAGTCTCGATATTAAGAAAAAGAGAGGATCAAGCATTAATCTCGATATCCACCATTCTAAAGTTTTCAGCTCTGGACATTGCGCATTAACAGATTTTGTTTTATAATAATTTTTATTTTATTTGCATGCTTGTTATTGACTGTTTAAAGAGAAATTATTCCAGAAATAAAAAATAATAAAAATAAAGATTATGGGGCGTTAAATTGATATTTTTAAAAAGAACGAAATATTTAAAAGATTGGAACAGAACATTATAAATAAAAGGGACCGTTCACTTATTTTGGTAACTTGAGGGTAAACTAAATTAGATATTCATTGTTTTTAGTCTTACTTTATTAAAGAAAAACTGTGGCCAGAGTTATAAAAGTCAATTTTTCGTTCAGAATTTTAGCGCAAAGATATGATACCTTTGTTTTTACACTATTTGATTCATTCTGTCATAGTTAAAAGTTATGGATTAAAAAGATTTTCAAATACTAGATTAAATTCTGGTATCTAATAGTTAATTGTAAATTTATAAAAAAAAAATTCTAAGTTATTTAAAAATTGTCTATTTTCAAAATATAACTTATTTCAAACATTTGACGGATTAATACGTTTTCAGCTACTTCCCTGGAAAACCCAGAGTTGGAATCAAGGAACCGGTTTGACGGAGAGAGAAAGTCGTCTTTGTATAATCATGTTAAATCATGTTTAAACGCGAAAACCGTTATTTCCTTGTTAATTCTATAAACAAAAGTTTTTATTTTATTCTAAATAAAGACTGCAGACACATCGTCATCATGTCATCGAAATGTGATAATTTTAGATTTTTGTATATCTGTTGTTTCTGAAAAAATCGTTTAAATAATGTATAAGCAAAGGTATCGTACCTTTGCGCTTGAATTCTAAACGTTAAATCGGCTATTTCTCTAGCCATAGTTATCTTTTAAAAGTAAGACTAATATCAATGAATAATTACTTTTAGGCTATCTAGTTTACCACGAATTACTCAAATAAGTAAAAGGTCCCATTAAAAAAACACACGAGAAACTAATGAATCATTCAAAAGTTTTGAATTACTCTGAAATGGCTAATCAAAGAATTTGGAAACTCCAATATTTTCAAACATACCAGTTTAAACATAGATTTCAATAAATTCGAATCAAAAAAGAAGGTACTGCAGACGCTTGTTTTTTCAATCATGTATCACATTAATTTTAAGGAGGTTCATTTCTCTCTATCAATGAAACCGGAGTTTTCAGTTTTGTATTTACCAACCTGGAGATATGTTTTCAGTGTTGTATTTGGCAACCGGGAGATATGTTTTCAGTATTGTATTTACCAACCTGGAGATATGTTTTTAGTATTGTATTTACCAACCTGGATATATGTTTTCAGTGTTGTATTTACCAACCTGGAGATATGTTTTCAGCATTGTATTTACCAACCTGGATATATGTTATCAGTTTTGTATTTACCAACCTGGAGGTATGTTTTCAGTATTGTATTTACCAACCTGGAGATATGTTTTCAGTGTTGTATTTACCAACCTGGAGAAATGTTTTCAGTGTTGTATTTACCAACCTGGAGATATGTTTTCAGTATTGTATTTACCAACCTGGAGATATGTTTTCAGTGTTGTATTTACCAACCTGGAGATATGCCTGGAGATTACCCTTTTCTAAAACGGAAACTGATCATTATAATCTGCAAATAGGTTCTTATTAATTTCTGAATTATCAATTAATACTATTTATGTTATTGTTCAAACAGAAATAAAAAATCAAAAACAGTTCTCTACGGCTTAGCTTAAACAGACCATAGATTGAATTTTAGTCTAAATCACTCTATCCCCGTAGTAAATTTGAATTCGACCAGGACCTGCCCAGTTTGAACCAGCCTGCCAGATAACAGCGTGTACTGACCCGATCCTATGGTACAGTACGTCGCCCTAACCAGACTAACTTACGACAGGGGTCAATTTTCTTGGCATAGTCCCATGAGAGGGCTAGCTATGACAACTTCCATGGCGCGTTCAGACTTTTTACAGTACCTGGCCTAATCCTAGGCCTATTTGACCGACCCCACTGGCTAAGTCCACCGTGAAATGTGTCTTACTCAGACTCTTAGTTCTTAGGCGAAATGTTTTTTTATTACAAATTTACATATTTTAAGATCACGTGCCTGTTTGTTTGTAAATATCCAAAAAACGTCAAAACGGCTGAACCGTTTGAGTAAAATTTTTGTAAGACCTCACATGATTAACGGAAATTTGTATGCTAGGTCAAAATTAAAAATTTCAAATATTTCTGATACTAAAAAACCATTAATAAAAACTAAAAAATATGCCATATTTTTATGTCAGAAAAAGCATGGATGTGGGCAGGACTGCAATAAAGTACCATTTAAAGCTTATAAACACAAAACTTGATGCGACACCTCTTAAAACCCTAAGTTTGTTTAAATTTATTTATCTGCAAGAAAAAATGAATGTAGCCTGAAGGCGGTAAACTGTATTTGAATGAAAGAACTAGAGTCCCAGAATATAAAGTATGAAGGCTGTATAGGAATGAAGGGACTAGAGTCCCAGAATGTAAAGTATGAAGACTGTATAGGAATGAAGGGACTAGAGTCCCAGAATATAAAGTATAAAGGCTGTATAGGAATGAAGGGACTAGAGTCCCAGAATGTAAAGTATGAAAACTGTATATAGGAATGAAGGGACTAGAGTTCCAGAATATAAAGTATGAAGGCTATATAGTAATGAAGGGACTAGAGTCCCAGAATATAAAGTATGAAGACTGTATATAATAATGAAGGGACTAGAGTCCCAGAATATAAAGTATGAAGACTGTATTTGAATGAAGGGACTAGAGTTCCAGAATATAAAGTATGAAGACTGTATATAGCAATGAAGGGACTAGAGTCCCAGAATATAAAGTATGAAGACTGTATTTGAATGAAGGGACTAGAGTCCCAGAATATAAAGTATGAAGACTGTATATAGTAATGAAGGGATAAGAGTCTCAGAATATAAAGTATGAAGACTGTATAAGAATGAAGGGACTAGAGTCCCAGAATATAAAGTATGAAGACTGTATATAGGAATGAAGGGACTAGAGTCCCAGAATATAAAGTATGAAGACTGTATAGGAATGAAAGGACTAGAGTCCCAGAATATAAAGTATGAAGACTGTATATAGGATTGAAGGGACTAGAGTTCCAGAATATAAAGTATGAAGACTGTATATAGGAATGAAGGGACTAGAGAGTCCCAGAATATGAATTAATCAGTCCAACTAATACTGCAGAAAAATAAAATATTCGCGGCTGTAAGTGTATTTAAAAGGAATGTAAGTGTAATTAAAGGGACTGTAAGTGTAATTAAAGGGATTGGAAGTGTGACTAAAGGGACTGTAAGTGTAATTAAAGGGACTGTAAGTGTAACTAAAGGGACTGTAAGTGTAATTAAAGGGACTGTAAGTGTAATTAAAAGGACTGTAGGTGTAATTAAAGGGACCGTAAGTGTAATTAAAGGGACTGTATTTGTAATTAAAGAAACTCTAAGTGTATTTAAAGGGACTGTAAGTGTATTTAAAAGGACTGTAAGTGTAATTAAAGGGACTTTAAGTGTAATTAAAAGAACTGTAAGCGTAATTAAAGGGCCTTTAAGTGTAATTAAAGGGACTGTAAGCAAAACAACGGTAAATATCCTTAAAAGATTTGACTGTTCAAGTATGAATTCGATAGAAACGTTTATAATTTTGAAAAATGATTATATTTAATTATAGTTTTGCTACAAAATATTTCACTTTTTATTGCATAAAGATTTCGAGAAATTTGGTGTGAATCGGCCATTGGCATATTTCTATGGATATTCGCTTAAAACAAAGCTTTAAACGTATTTTTACATTAATGTAAAAATTAAAGATTGTATAAAAATGAAAAATTACAATATCAACACTTAACGAGGTTCTTTGGTTGTTCAAACTGTTATAATTTATCAATAAAAAAAACAGGAAAAACTGCAACGTTTTGTTGTTATTATTATTTATTGATGAAGGAAGAAAAAAATTGCAGCGCACGGTATACTAGAAGTCCTGATTTTAAAGTCAGTGAGCTCTAACTTTATTTCTTTTTTTTAACCTTTATATTCTTTTGTACTTACCAAAGTTATTTTTTTGGAACACCGTTTGAAAAATTAAAGAATTTATAGATTCTTGGTTTCCGATTGTTGGCTTTGTGGATTTAAAACGGGAGGAAAAAAACCCTGATTTATGTTACTTAGTTTAACTTAATCAGGTTTTCCCACTTTGATGTTAACAGGTTGGATTGTTTAACATGTTGGATACAGAGGCGTATTCGGGGGGGGGCTATGGGGGCCAAGCCCCCCTGGACCAGTGAAATCTATTGATTTCAGGGGGTTTTCAGGCCCCAACGGATGCTGAGTCCCCCCTCTGGAAAGAGAAAAAAATTAAGTCCCCCCCCCCTTGTTCCAATAATTAGGACAGTTTAAATTCGAGTTCATGAGAACAATTATAAGCAAAAAAGCAAAAACTCAGTTACTTTCTTTTATCATTGGTAGATTTCTAAAATAAAAAAATCAACCTTTTTCTATAAAATTTTTTTACTTTAACTGTACTTTTCTTGGGATGATGTGAGTTGTCACAAAAAAAATATGGGCTCGATCTATTCATTAGTTTTGACCTTTCTTGAATACAGACAGACAGTCAAGTAAGCTAAATTTATGGAGAGTTTCCATGATACTTTAAAGTTCAAACAAAATAAAACGATTTGTTTACAAAACCAAATTGTAATTTTATTACCGGAAATAGATTCCTTTGTCCACTGTCTTTCTGGTAAAACTTGTATTTGAATTAGCTTAAAGGAACATGACGATGGAATTTCAAGTGACCCTCCATTTATATAGAATGACTTCTCCAGTTCAGAAAGGTACCTAAAAAGCTTTCTCTGCTTTAGAAAGCATAAAAACTACATAATTTCCTCTTTGAAAATTGGCTATTTTGAATTGTGGTCTCTCTAAAAGTGCCTTGCGGATTTCTGCTTCACAAGCAAAACGGAATTGTCAGAATTAACAACTTTTCAAGCTAGTAGTACGACAATATTTTACACAATCCACTTTATTTAAGCGATAATTTTCAGTGTCCCTCTTTGCTAAGATGGCAATGCCCGATTTACAATGAAATCCTGAAAGGCTTTGTCTAATCAAATATCAAGCATAAATTACGTATATCAATGTTTTAAATTTGGAAACAGATTATTTTTAATTGTGGTTTCTTTTTTATTATACAAAGGAATTTGAAGCACCCCATTCTTAAAGTTGCATAATCCAAGGCGACAACATTTACTGTACACTGTACACTGTACCTGTCCGAGCCGGTACAACATGTACTGTACACTCTACACTGTATACTGTACCTGTAGACTTTCATGTGACCCAACAAGTTTTGTGCAAGATCACGGTGGAGGGTACCATTGTGAATCGGTCATGGTCCTCTTCTATCGGATTATGGTCCCTTAGAGACCCACATACATTATGAAAATTATTATATAATCAGGCACTGCTTTACTTTACAGGATGGGGGTTCAGGAATTAAATTCAAAGAAAGGAACTGAAATTCGGTTCAGCCGTTTTTTTTACGCAAGTATTTAACGATAGACACGTATATGTTTGCTTATATCTTTCATCCCCTATATCTTTAACGCCCGATGGTCTAAATTTTTTATATTAAATTAGAAAATTAGAATTTGTGGTGAGTATTTAGTTGTTTTGTCAGTAGTTTTCAATCTATTCTACTCTATGTGTAATTTATTTCTGTTATAGTTAAAGCTATCATGTCAATCTTTTATTACTCATAATTAGATTAATTTCTACAACATACAACCTACAAAGGATAAGACTGTAAAGACGACGCAAAACTCTTTAAATTTGACGATTCCAGAGTTAATAACCGTCTATTTACAGCTTATATAATGATGTGGCAGAGAAAAAAACAAAGTTTACAGTCGCTGGGATCAGAAATAAGAGAACAAACTCCGCGCTGAAGTCTCATCCTTTGTGGATATCTCTGTACCTTGAACCATCCTATTTCTAAAATGGCTGGAAGGGAGAAGGAGAAGGAGACAGAAGCGACATCACTGGTACGACTTTGGAACCTCCTGGCTCCTCTAGATTTCCCTTTCTTCACAAGAATTAAGGAAAAATTAGTTTATTCTGGTTAATTACATCTTAGAATATAAAAAAATGTTCAATTAGAGAAGTGAGAAAAGATTTAAAACACATTAAGATTTCAATGTTAGGTACAATTTACTCTAGTTTGACGTAATGCACCCCTCGCTATAGTTTCAGTAGAAGTAAATATTTCCATTTACTGTTGTAGCGCCGATATAAGGATTTATCTCTAATCGGATAATAAGATAGATAGAAAGATAAATGTTACTGCCATACTATTTCTATTGGTTGAGAATAGACAACAATCACATGACTGAACCCTGATTGGATCAGGCACTAATGGACTCGGCATACAAGTGTGCCCTCCCCCTTCTCGAAGATAAGAATTTCCAATCAAAGTATGAAAGTTTAATGCATTATAGCCAAATATCTTGAGGTCAGAAAATTCTATATTGAGAAAGAGTAGGAGTTCAGAAAAATGGTGAAAATATAAATAAATGCGTATAACACAGCTTTATACGATTTATGAATACGTATAGAAGTCTT